AAAAATAATTTTATATTATATTATTATTTATAATCAATTATTATATATCGATGTGGCATTCTTGATTCATCCATAGTTCCATAAATTAATTAATAATAAATAGACTGTGATGAATTACTTGAGTTAGTACAATTTATTAAGAGTTTCTAATATTAAAACGAAATCAAACATCACATATTGCCAATGAATAAAGATAATAACACTGAAAAATGTCCATTATGTCACCTAATCTGATCCACTAATAAAATTATAGTTTATGATTTTTTTTTTATTCATTACGACTGTTTAAAATTGATGTACCTATTGTACTTAAATGTTTTTCTGTAACACCTCATACCATGCTGAATGATTTGTTATTTGTCTATATTTCTATATATTTGATAATGTAGACTAATATAATTAACCCTTTGGGGTGTTAATAAATTAAAATAAATTAGTATTTCTTTTATAGTTAAAATAATCCTAAGGAACATTTTATTGTCATTATTATATATCTTATATATCTTATATTGAATACTTAAATAATTTATAAGCTTATACAACATTTGTAAATACAAATATAAGGGATCCACAACATGCCTGGAAAAATATAATACTGATAATAACGATAACTCAGAAACATTTTGAATTCTAACAGGTACTGATTCAAAATCGTAGTACCAATTTATTTTATTTTATTGTGTAAGTTGCAAAAGAATTACTATTTCCAATTTTAAACATTTTTATTTTTTCTATTCAAAGAAAACATCAAAATTAATAATTATTCGAATTTGTTCGACAAACATTCTAAAAAAAGTTTTGTTTAATAATTGAAAAATTATAGAAATTATTAACTATTGAAACTTCTATATTACAAAATGTATCTATCACTTGGGTTACTAAAAATGTCTTCTATGATGGTACTAAAAATGGGAACCTCTTAATTATTTTGTCTCCCGCACAATAACGGTATAGTCCGCGTGTGTATATTCTTCCATCCAAACTGTATACCTTCACAGTACTAAGGTCATAAGGTATCTCCCTCGCCTCAGAGCCATATCGCGGACCGGCAATTATCATCTATACGTGACGACCTGATAATACATGAAGAATTACTGCACATTCCCGTATCCTAACAACAAAAATATTCAGCAAAACTCTAAAGTCATGTATTAATCATGAAACAAACGGTTTTTAAGTTCCCGTTTTCGCATCAAAGAAGCGCTGTCCACGTACGTTGTAGACAAACCACAGGCTGCCACTGAAGGGTCTCACAAAAAAACAGATAATGAAATAAATTGTTTTAAACAAACTAATACCGTTTTCATTCATAACAGACTTGTTGACAAAAATTTGCATAAAGTTCTACATAACGTGTTTGTATCTAAAATATTAATTAGTAATTACCTATATGGCTATAACATGAATATATTTTTTAAATGTCATCAAGATTTAATCAATATTAAATTAACTTTTTATTAAGGTAATATTTCCGTAAAGAAACGTGTAATTAATTATTTATTCAAAATGTAAAAGACATCGATTAATGATTGTACATATTCTAGCTAAAATGTGTTTTTGGAACAATAGAAAGAAACGAACACTTGATCTGTATGTTCGCGCAACCGTAATAAGTTTGTTGTAGGTACGATAGTGTTCAGTGTTAAGTGTATGTAACTTGGTTAATGATTTTAAATGATAAACTCGTTTAAGAATTGAAACAATTATAACAAAAAATCACTTCTTTTTTAGTGTAATGTGCTCTTTAGAGCACTAAAATATTGAAATAAAAAAAATATATATTAAAGGTGTAGGTAATGAACACATTTGAAATTTAGATTAAAAATTATTATTTATCATATTTTTCATAATATTTTAAGAAGGTCTTAATTTAATATCATGTCTTTAGATAGGTAGGTCGTAGGTATACTAGGTACATATAAAAAATTATATATCTATTTAAGAAAAAATTGAATAATTATAATTTGGTTGAGTCGAGTAAAATACAACTTTTTGAATTTGAGGATTTACATTATATTATGTTAAAGATAAATAATAATTAAAATACAAAAAAAACATAATTAAATCTGCCAATGTCGGAAGACTGCAGTAAACAAACAAAGTTCATTATATTTTATGGAAACATTCATCAACAGATTCTAACTGGTAACAATATAAACAAATCACGAGCCACAAGCATAGATATACATAGTATAATATACGGGTATACCTACATACGCTATATCTATAGGATAAAAATCTGTCATACAAACACAAAAGTAATAAAGAAAAAAGTAGGAACGTACAAGAAAATAGAAAAAATATGAATACACAAAGAAAAAAAGAAAGAAAAAATATAATAAAAAGGAGAGGGAGTGAGAAAGAGAAATAGAGAGGGGAAAAAGTGGCCACGACAAATTCAACTGGTCGAATTTTATTGGGTTGTTCATAAGAGATGAGCGTGTTGGTACAAGCCGACGGCGATCCCGGATGTAGGTCATCGAGCCGGATGCGTTCTTATATGTACAGTCGTCCAGACGTTTGGGCGGCCGCGTCTTAGAACTAGTCAATTTTAGCTCCTCCTGTCTTGCCAGCGTGCTACCACCACACTGTATAATATGTAATAATGTTCGGTTGTAATAATAAAAAAAAAACTATTGGACAAGGTGAAAAAATAATATAATAAGATAACCATGATGGAAAAAAACACGCATAACATATATACATATATATTCCGGGAAGAACCTTGAACTTGTCGCGAACATAACAAACATATCAGTATAAAAAAACCTCCCATAAATTTAGTCATTTACGTACAGCACCCGCTGCAAGAAACATACAAGTTTTAACACTATAATATTATATAGTAGGTGGTCAGTACGTCATCATTTTTGGGCAATAATAATAATATTAAGAACCTTTCCCTTTTAATCTACTCAACTACTATATCTTTTCAATCATTTTAGTTTTTGCTAAAATTAACGTTAAATAAAATTATAAAAATATAAAGTACCTATTAATAATTAATAAAACAAATTGATTATATTGTTTGCATTTATAACAAGTAAAGTTTCATAATAATAGGTCTTCTTAAAAGTAGTGCTTACAACAAATTAAGAATTAAATAAACATAAATATATTAAGGCCCCCGGTGCCGATGCCATTTTGTCCACAAAAATACACTCTGCGGAAATAACTATACCACCTTATGGTAAAATCAATCAAATTTCATTTTTTTTTTTTTAGAAATATTCTAAGGCCCGCATCGATCTCTGTCTTTCAATATTTTATTCTCAAACTTTATAATATGACTAAAAAAATACAAGATAAAAAGCATTTTTTTACAAATTTTTAATACAATTATTTGAAACTAGCTGATCCCGTGCACTTCGTTTCCCGTTAAATGTACCAACTCTATATGACTCAAACATTGTTCAATGCGTTATTTAATATTCGGTGTATGATGTTCTAGATTTATCCGATGAATAAAAAAAACCAAATTTAACCCTTTTTAAATTAGCGTATCTTCTTCCCATAGGTCTAATCTACGCACCTTCATTCATTTATATATAAGATATATTTACAAAAAATAATAATACAAATCAACAAACATGCCCGTCGCCCGATTAACCAATAGCAACCAATATAATATAATACACAATAGAGTAAATAAAGACAACGGTATCGAGTTCAAATCCCAGACATCAATAAATAGTTTTTGCAGTTTTTCTAATTATTCGGTTGACTTTTTAAATTTTCTTTCGTAAAAACCTTCACCTGGCAATTACGAACATCTTAAAAAAAATTTGAGCAAAATCGGCCCAGCCGTTCTCAACTGATGCAATTTCGAATTTTTTGTCTCCATTTTTATATATATAGATAAAATACAAAATCAGAGTTCGATGAGGGCTGACGGAAGTCTTCTTCTTTCAGATAAAAAAATAGTCATCAAAATCCGACAATTCTACAAAGATTGAGAGTTATTCCTGTAAAATCATTTTTTCGATATAGTACACCCTATCTACCCCCCTAAATAGTTATCGGGTAGTAGATTAGTGGAAAAGTCTTATAATTGAGGTGGCAACTAAAATATAAAATTGTATTTTCAAATTGTATAGAATTGTGGAAAATTTGAAAAACTGGCACCGGGACCCTTAATAATTTATTTTTTACAGCTTATTTATTGATAAATGATAATATACTTTTTTTATATATACATTTAAAGTTCAAATATTGACTAATTTAAACAAAAAATAACGAATTCAGTTATTTTTTATTAATTCAAAAAATATTAATCGTATGAACTCGAAACTCTTCACCATTGTGAATTTATATCATGAATTTATCCACACGCTGATAAGGTACGGACTATTATAAGTCTAATATAAGTTAATAACTACCTATTATATAACAATAAGTCTTATTAATGATATGATTGAATTCAAATTTAACATAACACAATATTATTTAATAAATATGTACCCATACTATCAACACCTATTATATACAGCTGCAGAACGAATTTTCTAGTTTTTAAGTATACTTCTAGATGCCATAAAAAAAATTGAACTTTTACCGACTATATACTAATTTATTAAGATTTCATTTGCATATAACAAACCTATTCACACTCCGGGACTATATTTTGACTTGTGATCTATTATATAATATAATAGAAGAAACTGTAAATAACGGATGTAGACTAATTCCTAGTTTTAGGAACCTGAGATTGATATATATGTTACGGCGTAAGTCCGAAACGTTGATAAAGTGCACATTATCCATACTAGTTGGATAAAGTAAGCACTCAAAATGTAAAATCATTGTTTCGTACATTAACCGACTATTTTGTACATTAGCCATTAATGGATGGATGAAGTAACTATAACGTCAAGTAGTCACACAGCTATTTGTCAATTCTAATTATCGGATATTCTAATATTTTTGTATAACTTTTCAGAGCATGGTAAAGTCCCAGAGAGACCTTGGCATAAAAACGCTACAAGATCAAGCTAAAAAAAATGAAGTTTAGATCAATTAATATGTTCCCACCTGCCAGCATTGGTGATACAGTTCGAGTCACCATACTTGATGTGGATAGAGGTAGAGGAGATCCACGAAACATTCTATTTGCAGTAGTATCAATAAAAGATGGAGAATTCTATGAGCTAGGTAACAAAGATGGAACAATAGAACAACATTATGCTAGGTCTCAGTTTGATATTTGTCCTGAGCCATGCATTAAAGGAGACTGTGTTAAATATAAAAAAATCTTTACGAGAAATCGCTAAAAATATGTCATTGTTAGGTGGTCGCTAGGGCTATCAACGTTGTGCGTTCAAATCTAATTGCAAAACAAATAAGTGCAAATGCAAAGCATCAGGCATTTTATGTAATTCCAAATGTCATCAAAGTTTACCTTGTTAATTGTTTAAATAAATAACAAAACAAATGTTATCTAATAAATAGATTTAATAAAATATAATAAAATATATTAAAATATATGATATTTTATATTTAATAAAAATAAATTTAATATAGGTACCTAGCATAAAATATATTTTAATATTTAATTGTTAACTTACATTAATTAATTTTATTTAAATAAATATATATTTTGAATGTATATTAATAATATTTTACATTAGCCATAACAAGAAGGCTAAAGTTACTTTAGCCGGGTAATGTACACATAATCCATTTCCCAATAGTTTTTTATTTACGTCTAAAGTTCGAAATTGGCTAATGTCTACATTATTCGGATACATAATATAGGCGATAGGTGACCGATGTATTATACACATGTGTGACGAGGGCATAAGGCTCTCAAATATAGGTACATCGTATATAATTCTATTTACTGACTTCGCTAACATATCATCGACCATCGCAGTATTGCGCTGCGCAACACAACATTTAGAGCGCACTCTTCAACAGCGACACGAAAACGGTTTAACCTTGGAAGGCGAAAATGTCGGCTAAGACCACGTTTCCTCAGACATTAATCAGTCAACCGACGACACAGACAGTTTTTGCGATTACCAACTCGCAAGTATATACCGTATACAATAAAATATGAATTCCAGTCAGAGAATCAGGCGCTCAGTCTGATAAAATAACGTCATTATCGCAAGCCTTTTTTTCAGCGTTCCCCGTATTGTTGATTCCCAGACAAACAGATTTTCATGTCGCTGTCCTTTTAATGCTACCTTAATGATTTGAAGTTCACGGAGTTCTCCGATGGATAACTAATAAGCTATCCTCATGGCGGGGTAAATGAGTTTTTAAAACATAAGTACAGTATATTTATATTTCCTATACTAAATCTAAATATCCTATATGGTATTGAATTAACATTTATTGAATTTCTAAATAACCCAAGAACTTTTTCCCTATATACTTGTAATAGCGCCTCCCCCCCCCCAAAAAAAATAAAATAAAAATATTCAAATGTTTCCTAAAATATTAATAAGCCTTTTAATATGCAACTGTAATTCTTATTTTTTTTTTAATTATTTTATTTTTATTCAAAGTTTATAATTATTTTATATTGTCTATGATAAAATATAATATGATAAATATCATTAGCTGTACGCCAGTATTTATTTTTAAGGAAAAGATTTATGTCGGTACATTAGTACGATTATTATACATAATTTTACAGTGTATGCATTGAACTATAATAAATTCAGACAGTATATTATTATTATTGTGAAAAATGAAACTTGAGTAGGTATATAAATATTTGTTTTGACTTACTCACGGGTTACTTTTCATGTAATATCAGGTAGGGGCTAGAGCCCCCCCCCAACATTTTACCCCTGGTTGTGTGCCACTGAATAGCAATCATACATACCTTGAAAAGTATTGAAATAATAAAATTCAATATAAATAAATTCAATGTCAAATAGGTATCTTATTATTACTTATTAGTGTAGGTATATGTAGTATATTAATTAAGTAAACAATCATAATTATTAATTATATTATATTACTTAGTATTTATACATAATATTTTATAATAATTATTATAAACGAAAATATGTCCACGAGAAAGTACCAACGGCCCTGCACCCCTACAAAAGTGTCATTCGTGTCGATCGCTCCACCCCGAGAAATCCCCTAAACATGTCTCTGCCAACGATCGCGATCGTCGCGTGTCGTCGATGTAGGTAGTTGTGTTGCGGGAAAACAAGTTTGTAAGAATAGGAAAAAAATATATAATAAATATAAACAACGCGTTTATGGCGGGAGCGAGTTTGGAGATATAAAAACGAATAACAATATTCAAAAATATACCTACGATCGGGATTGAGAATCGCGTACGGCGACGACATCCCACGTGCAGCGAGTAGCGACGCGACCATCGGCATTCCCCCGCCTAGCGCTTGCATAAATCTTATCGTAGCCGCAACGCAGCACTGCAGTGCACACGATGTTTATATTATTATGTAGGCCACGCAAGTGCGTGCCGCCGCCGTGGTAGTGTATACAATATATACAATATTATACATATTGTGTGTCGTGTATGTGTGTGCGTGTATTCGTGTCGGCGTGTGTGTGTGCGTGTCGATGTGTGTGTGCATATTATTTACAATACTTTTTTTATATATTATACGACGGCCCAGGCATTAACCTACATGCGTGTGTGTATACTGAATACGTCTTGTGTGTGAGTGTGTGCGCGTGCGGCACCGACGGACACAATAATATAATCCTGAGCCGCCAATCAAGGTCAACAGGACTCTGACGCCCTCGCCGCTACGCCTCATCTGTTGACTGTTGTACGACTGTACGGAACCGTCGCGTGTGCGTACCTACCACACGTACGACGATCGGCAGCGTGCAATGGCCTGTGTGACCTTTGCCTGTACCTGCGCCTGCAGTGTTCACCTCCGCTCCAGAGAGAAAGAAAGATAGAGTGTTAGATTCGGAGAAAGAAAGAGAGAGATCATTAACGCGGCGGGTCAACGACGGCGTTGGGCGACGGGCGACGAAACGCTTCCAACTGCAGATCTTCTCAATCACCGCCACGTCGAAAGGTCGTCTCAAATTACTATATTATACAACAGTAGTTGCTGTCGATAATAAAATTGATATTTTATTATAATGTTATAATATATACCTATTGTATAGAAGAAAATTGTAGTATAGATGCCCCGCCATATGGCTATAGCCTATATTGTATTGGTATGGCGGTAACTCGCTCGCCTCAGTCGCCGTGGGAAAATAAAATTGATGTAAGAACTACAGACCGGAAGACGCGGTACTATGTACAATATATAAATTATTAAATTGTGTGTAAGCCAGGTGTTGCTTGGTGGGGCGGGCCAGTGCGAAATTTGAAGATGGTCACGAGATTGTTAATGATCAGTCTCATATTAAATAGGCCAAACATAAACTGACCGCGGTTAACCTGTAGTAGTGGTAGCTGGTAAATGGTAAATAGATTAATAATAATATACCTATAGTATAATATTTCATATATTTTTATGTACAAGGTATAATTTTTAAAATATTTTGACTCTTTATGAGTTTAGATTCAAGACATTAACATTTTTTTAGTTTTTTTTTCTATAAATGTCTATTAAAAATGGTGGGCAAGTGGGTACCCTTCTACAGTTCTATAATATAGTAGGTGTCGAGGAAATGACGATAGATGTGTTAAATTTGAATTCAATGATAAACCGTTGTATACCGATAAACGATTCTGAGCGAAGACACCCTATATATTACTAAGTATATATTTTTATGATATTATTGCTAATAAAAGTAATACATTTTAACTATTAGTTATACAGAAGGTTGAATAATTGTTTGCCTTAAACAGGAAACATTGCGTTTGATTAAGATATAATCACATATTTAAAAAGTTTCAAGTCCGTCTACGAAAAATATTTTTGAATTACAACAAAAAATATCATCAAATATATTACTCAGTTAGTAATATCATATGACCGTTTTCGCTCAGAATCGTTTTTCTTATACAATGATATTACCTATATCACTGAATTCAAATTTAACACCATCCATTACAGTGACCCACTTGTAACCTCCTGTACAGCAGAGCGACACCCACTTATTTAAGTTTTAACTACAAATGATATGCACATTTTTGTGATTTTGAAGTATTTTGTAAAAATAAGATATGTATAGGTATCTTCAATATTTTTAAGTGTCTACAGTAAGAACTTATGAGGAACCTTATAGCTATTCAATTTTTAAGCTTTTTGACCCAGCAAAACATTTTTTATTGACATAGTTAAATTTCGTTTTTGAATTACAACAAAATAAGAAAGTTGTTCTATGTGTAATCAATAATCATTAATTTACGGATAAATATCTAATGTTGTAAAAATTTGAACTTCAAACGTTCATAAAAATTAATGTGAATTCACGCTAAACTTTTTTTTCTTATATAGGTAGAAAAACTCATGAGGACCCTACTTATTATATACTGCAAACTGTTGAGAGTAATACAATTAATTTATAAATTTATATTCGAATCTTTAATTTAACTTCAAAGCTTAAATCCAAGGATATTAAAATAGACACGAAATGCATACCACACGATTAGTGGATTTTATAATAAAATTTGGGACAAAAATGGTACCTACTATTATTTCATGATGACAACCAATATAATATATATTTACGAGGACCCTTGATGAGTTGACTTATTCGCAGTGGAAAATCTGTATTCTTCCAACGCGACAACCGTGACTAGAAAAAACATGTAAAAGAATACACTATGGTGTGGAAAACCACGACAAAGAAATGACTTTGCTTTCTCTTTCACGCAGCATCCCGGCTGGAGTTTTCATGCTCTACTTATCTAGCACTGCATTCAAGAAACAATGCTCACATCATGGACGGCTGTTCTATAATATTTCCCTGACATTAAACATTGTACACGTTCGTCATTTCTCTTGTATTTTATTGGTGACAAAATAATATTCACAAATATGATAAAATTCAAACAATTACAACGATTTAAAAACAATAATTAGTATATATAATATATTATAATATATAATAAAAATAACATTATATAATATGGAGATTCATAATCACTTATTTGATTAAAAATTAACAATAACAGTTAAGTATATAAAATTATAAAATAAAAATAAGTACGGTAATGTGTATATTGTTTAGTTGGAGTGTTTGTTTTGGAATGTATGCAAAATAGTATATTAATTAGTAATTATTCTGTTTTAAATAGTCTTGAATCTTAAGCACCAATAAGTTAAGTTTCGAGTGTGCGTGCAATGGCGGATCCAGGGCTTTATTTGGGAGGGGCATGAGGGGCAAAAGTACAAAAAGTTCCAAAATTGGCTAAACACAGTGTAAAACAAAGGAAAACTAAGGTGATTGGGGAGGGGCAAATGCCCCCTTTGCCCTCCTCTGGATCCGCCACTGTGTGCATGAGTGTATGTTTATGTGTATGGTCGAAGGATGTATGAACTTCACCTTAATCTTAGCAATAGTACTTAGAAACCTCTTCCACTAGTTTATCCACGTTTTTTTCGTTAATTTCAACAAATTTTTTGCTCTGTCTACTAAAATAGTATATATCCCCGGTATATATATCAAACCAAAGAGCGTGTATATGCAGGTCATACGCCTCTAGACGTTTCCTAAGGAAACCGTAGCTGGCAATATTTTGCATCTGCTGTAGGGTATTAACCTGTAGCACACAAATAAACAATATGTCAATGTATATTATTTTCTATTATTACCTACTATCTATTAATATTATGGTGTTGTATGATATTATGTAAAATCGTATAAGATTTAATAGTTCGTAATTGAAAGACTAGCCAACATACATAATATAAATAAAAATATGCATTAGGTATCCGCTATAAGTTATAATACCTAATATATTAATATGAATTAAAAAAATGCATATACCTATATTAAATTTGTAAATTTATTTATTTATGAAAGAATAAAGATAGTTATCCAAATGCTTAAAAATTAATTTGTTGATAAAAAAAAGCTTGATATAATAATATTCTGCTTCCACATTAGATATTGTATTCATTACTGATAAAAAATATTTCATTATAAACTTATTAAAATAATTTTAAGAAAATTTTATAAAAAATGTTAGTTCAATAAAAAAATGGTTTATTAGTTATTACTAATGACTAAAACAAATTTTTAGATTTTTACATCTTTTGAAATAAATGTTGTAAAGCGTACCTATTAATATTAAGCTTTAATTTAGTGTTAAGAAATTATATACAATTCAATATTTTATTTTAAAAGTAACTAAAGTATAGAATTATTTTATCAGAATTATAGTTAGTTACCTGTGATAACTTATCTGTAACTGAAAACTTGTCTTCCGGATCAATGTAAGCAATAATTCTGCGTAAGGGTGTCTCGGCCTGAAAAATGAGTGGTGTGTCGAAGCCGGCTGTTTCCAGCTGTTGATACTTTTCCAAAGATGATATTGCGTGCGTACAGAGCCATGATCGAAGCGGCGACATTCGGCGGTTGTCGATGCTAGCAAATTCCGTGTCCCTGAGCAGGTGCAGCAAGTTCATTGCCTAAGAATTAAACGAACACGTTAAATAACATTCAATGATAATAATTAATAACAATAACACCAGGCATAAAATAAACTATTATTATTTATCTTTTATATAAACTTGCAGGAAGAATAAAATTCAATTCAATTTTATGTTTTAACTCATAAATGCTGCAATATTTTATTTGTATGCATATTTAAAAGTTATTATCAACGTTTTATACTTTACAAAATACAACATAACAAAAGTAAAATAAAACATTTTATCTATATTATTCTTAAGAAAACATTTTTTTCTTATTATTATAGACAATATTACATTTAAATGCAGTTTTTGTCTGTAATCCTGTGTGATAAGTAACAACTGCCAATAAATGACCGGTATGTAGGTACATACTTACCTATACTGTACCTATACTGTATAGAGTATGCGGTACAGCCGATATGTGGCCATACCACAACGGACATAAAGAAATTATGATTGTTGTAAACTTCTATAGTAGCAATGATAAGTCCTGTGAACTACAATTGCGGTTGAACAGATTTTATAAAATGGCTAACTTATATCCATTCATTAAAATACGAATAACATGATAGGTACATTTAATTTTCAGCAACAAGTAAGTATACCTATGTTTCAATTATGCACTAAATATAATCAAATGATGCCTGACATTTTAAATGATGTAGGTATCTTGTGTGTTTTGAATTAAATTTCAATTGCAAAACAATATTTGTTTAAAATACTGTTTAAAATTGGAAAATAAGTAGGTACCTACAGGCTACAAGTTACTTAATTCTGTACAACTTGAATGGTTTATCTAAATGTACAGAGTAGAAACAATATAGCTAAACAAATGTAATGAGTTTATAATAATAATTTAATTAATAGTACACTGTATTGATACTGTGAGAAAACTGCAAATGAATATTCAAAATTAATTAAATTTTAGTTTATTTTTTATTCACCGGTATTTATTTTTAAAAATAACATTACTTTGCAATCAGAATGCCCACAAACGATAACATGCCTTATATCGTTGTGTACACATCCTAGTTCCAAGGCTGCTGGTTCACATGTAGTATATTCATCTAGGAAATGCTGCGAATGTGGAATCAAATTTCCAGCATTTCGAACTAAATACCAAAACATAAAAATTTGACAATTTTAAATTTCACTACCTATTACATTGCAATAAATCATGTAATTTATGCAAATGTACATATAACGTATATAACATGTATATAAAAAATAAATAATATCCACAATGTATTCTAAAGTAAATTATAATTTAGAATATATGCTGCCCCTGAGTTATATAACATATACTAACCAATGAACATATCACCAATGTTGGTTTCAGTAAATCGAGCAGGCAACATACGGCTGTCCATGCAAGTGAAAAATAAAGCTTTTGGCTGAAACATATCAAATAATAATTTAAAATGAATATATTTTATAAAAATGTATGGTTTATACTTTATAGTTACTCTTAAGTATTAATAATTATTAATTATTAATGGAAATATTAAAAAAAAAACAAATTATGAGGTTAATGATTAATTGTATTATATTATACAGGGTGATTTTTTTATCGAAGAACACTCATTATTTCAAAAAGTATTAATGTTTAAGAAAATATTTTTTTACATAGTTTCAAGTTGTTAAAAAACAATATTTTTATTAAAAAAATATATTTTTAAATATTTTTTATCCTTTTAATTTTTTAAGTTTTTTACTTTTTTGAATGACAACATCTAATTTTAATTTGATATTCAAAAACAGAATATTTTTCTGAGTATTTCGATACATAAAAATTGAATTTAGGGCAATTAGTTTATGAGTTATAAGTATTTAAAGTTTAGATGAGGTATACAATTATAAACATAAACCAAAACCAATTTAAGTAAAAATAAACCACAACACCTAATATCTTATTTTAAAATGTTAATATTTAACACTAAAACTAAAAAAAACATCTTGGTTATAATTATTTTAGATGGAAATATAAATATAGTGAATAATTTATTTGTTTAATAAAGAAGATTTTATGAATGATCACAAAAACAGTATTTTACAGTAATAAAATATTAGAAATAGGCTAATATTGCTATACTATACAGTTAAATAAAATGTTAATATGTATTTACTTCTTTTTCGAACGTTTTTGAAATTGTAAAATATTTTTTATATACCTATATAGGTACCTATAAGTACCTTATGGTACCTTATAGTATATTTTTTAATTCTAATGGACGTCACAATGGACAATGGACGTTGTTTGTGCCAGACAATAATTTATTTTTGACTATTATTATTTTGTGTGAAATCTGACTCTTCTTTATTATCATAAAAAGTTCAATTTATTTTTACCAAATTTAAAACAAAATTATACTTAACAATTAAGTAACAGACATAATGCCATCAATTCACTGTGGACAATAGTTAAAAACAAATCGGGTATCTTGTTTTAGATTTTGATTGGAACGATGAATGTATTGATTTTACAATGATGTGTGTTTTTTTTTATTTTTTTTTTATTTTTGTGTCTGTCATCACGGTTTTGGGCAGTAAAACTGCTTCGATTTTCTTCAACAGTATCTTGTTCAATGGGAAAGTGAATCTAGTTAAAATTACCAATAGTTTTCACAAAAGCCGGGAAAAACAACATACAAATTAAGGAAAAACGGGAATTTTTACTCAAAATCGGTTTTCCACAAAATCAATTTTGGTTTTTGGTATAACTCTAAAACAAAAGAATGTTTATACATGAAACTTTCACTGGTTGTTTATATTTGCATTTTCTATACACTTTAAAATTTTCGAAATATTATGATTTGTTTTTAAAAAAGCTTGAAAATTTAATAGAAGGCTAATAAATAATTTTTCAAAAGTAGATGAAAAATATTAAAAACCCTTGGTCACAGTTTTTTTTTATAAGCATTTAAAGTTCAAAAATTGACAAAATATGGAAAAATCACGAAAATTAGCAAATTATTTTGAGTTAAGAATTCGTAAACATTTTTCTATTTAAATCTATGATTTTAAAATGTAATACAAGATTCCTTATAAGATTATCTACCTTTGTCAAAAAAAAATTTCAGTAAGAAAGTTAAATTAAATTTTTTGAAATACAAATTTTTACAATATTCACTCGATTTCTGATGTAGCGATTTCCTTATTTTGTTGTAATTCAAAAACGAATTACTGTAGATACATGAAAATTTCACTGAATGTTTATATTAGCATTTCCTATACACCATACAATTTTGAAAATATTTTGACTCTTTTTGAGCTGTTTACGGACATTTTCAGTTTTAAATTTTTTTAGTTTTTTTTTTCTATAAATATCAATAAAGTTTTATCTGTTAGGCCAAAAAGTGTAAAAATTGAATACAAGGCTCCTGATATATTGTTACAATATCAGTTGAAAAATATTAAAAATACACAGTCACAGTTTTTTTTTATAAGCATTTAAAGATCGAATTTTGACAAAGTTTATCAAATTTAATAATTATTTTGTAGTTAAAAATTTATAAAATGTTCAACTTTTATATCTAAGGATTGAAAATTTAAAACAAAATTCTACGTAAGTAGTTAATTCTCTTACCAAAAAATCTAAAAAATACAAAAGCACAGTTTATTTTATAGGTAGTCATTTTAGTTCAAATTTGGACGAAATTACATATTAAAAAAAACCTAGAATAACAGTTTGTTGTGATTGTATAAAATTATTCGTGGGTACTTGAAACTTCTAAAGTGTACTATTATATATCTATGATAGTATCGCGGTTTGTTGTTGATATATAACGCGCTATAACTTATAAGTACCTAATGGATATTGTGATTTGATTAATTTGGAATTTATTATAGGTACCTTTTAATACCATAGATATGTATATAATATGTCTTATACCTAGACTGACATACCGTCTCCGCTCAGAATCGTTTTTTTATACAATGATATTATATCATTAATACCATCCATTATACAGTGACCCACTTGTAATCTACTATACAGCAGAGCACCTTTTTTTTTAATTACTCAAGAAATTTAAATAGTTCAAATTTAATAATTATTATTTATTAACATATAATATAAAATATAAACTGTAACGGAAGGAACCTAAACATTTTAAATTTATATTATAACTTATAAATAAGAGATCGAGTTTCTTTAAAAATAAAATATTGTTACAAAACAGATTTAGTATAATAAATAATCAATAATTATTATACAAGTTATTTGTATGATTTTCCATAAGATACTAAAACAGAATTTAATTTGTACACGGGACTCTGTAATATTTGTTCGGTGCACAAAATCACTGATAAATATATGTATAAATATAAAATTGTATGACACAGTTTTCACTTACGTAAGTATAGTACAGATGGCACCAGTGGTGTTTTGGAGGGTATACGCGGGTATACGACGTATACCCTATCACCAGTTTACTGATTTAGCGTATACCCTGTAAAATTACTAGAGATACGCAAGTATACTCGCGTATACCCACGTATACCTTCAAAAAACTTAAGTAAAATAAAATAGTAATTGCTTCCAAAAAAATATTTTTATCTTTATTTTCAACGATGGAAAATTATCAAATTTTTTTTAATGATAATCGACTAATAACCATCATATCAATATCAAATTCATATATTTACAATTATAATCACGGCTATGGATACAATTATTTAAAACTATCGACGTTATGGACACAGCCCACAGATATTTTTATAATATTATCTGTATAGTTATGGTTGACTTGAGAGACTGCCGATTATAAGAATGATATTGTATTTATTGTATCGACAGCGGCTTCAAAAACAAAACAGTTATTCACAGATGCCTTATCACAATCAGTTAGATTTGGTAGAAAACAGCGACATTGATAAGGATTTGCAGATTCTATAGTCAGTCAATTATTTTATATTCATGAAATTATGTAATATATTACTATTCAGAATATATTCTTAGTAAAAAAGATTTTATTTAATTATCTAATTGTCTTATAATAATAACCGTTAGAAACTTAGAAAAATGTATTAGACCATTTTTTTTTTTACTGCTTACATCAGTGGCGGATATATCCAAGTTCTGAGGGGGGGGGGGGGGTGAAATTTCAAATCCACATAGATAATGATGTTTAACCCCCCTCCCCATTGTTTTATTTTGAAATATTTAACTATAATCGGTACAAAAATATAAATAACAACACTTTTTTTCAATATAAATATTTATTTAAAATTTGAAAAATAAAATATTTAATCGTGCTATCAAACAGAGTGATAGCACTACCCCTCTATGGGGCATCAGGCACTTGTCCCAAAATTTCATGGAGAAAAAAAAATATTGTACAACTGAAAAATCAATTAGCAGATAACACCAAATACCAATATAATTAATATTTAAATATTTATAAATTATAATCAATGGTTGTAGCCAAGCCAATATTGTAATAATGTATAGTGGTGGCAAAAAGCCTAATGGGGGGGGGGGGCGGTCCACCAATTACCCACCCCCGATATCCGCCACTGGCTTACATGTCAAACAGAACGAAATTATGTAACAAAAAGTAAGTTCTAACTCAGTGCTTGGAATTAACTCGTTCAAAGGAATCCCTTCCTTTGATTTCGTTCCATTTTTAGGAACTTTCGGGAACGTAGTTCCTTTTTCATGTTTAGGAACGTACTGAAATTTCGTTCACTTTTTAGAGGAACATGAACGATTTTTTTCGTTCCTTTCTTCGTTCATTTATTTTTAAATAAAAGTAATTAAATCATTTTTAAAACTAAAAGGAAAAAAATGTATAGCTTCTATTAAAATTTAGTAACTAATATGAAGAGCTATAAAAATAAACATGTATACGATATTATTGATAATGTTTACAAAATATAAATTCTGTATTTCTGTAGCAGAGGTTTATTTATACAGCTTATTAAATATATAAGTTAAAACTATTACTAAATGTCTAAATAACAATGTGTTATGTTTAAAATTTTAAAATTAAAACAATTATAGTATAAACATGTGCGATGTACCTATGTTTTTTTATTTTAAGTCACATTAAAAAGGGACGAGGAAAGGAACTAATTCCTATCTTCAAGGCAGGAATGGTAAAGGATTTAGTTCCTTTTTTAAAGGAACTTTTTAAGCACTGTAACTCCATGTCATCCTGATGCAAAATGTCTAAAATCCTTTTTCTGGGGGGGGGGGGGGGGGCTAGGTAAATAAATCGACATATAAAGGCGCGGTGGTATACCGCACGATCCACCATAAGTTAATTTTTTGTTTGTTTAGAAAAATTTTTTTTTGAGCTTATGTGCTAAGCGTATACCCTAGAAAAAAATTACCAATACATCACTGGATGGCACAGATAATGAGTATGAATGATGATTTTATAAACGATAT